AGATCACATGAAACAATGAGGTGAAGTTAAAACTGTTACGAATTGAATTTGAATCTGAAAAAGGAGGTAGATGTGTTGCATTTGGTAGTAAATTAAATTAGTTGATTTCTGCTACATATTTAATTGTCTTAATTTTAACTGTTGTGTTCGTCATGCCAATTTTAATTTTGTTATTTTTTAATGAGGGATTTTTTTTCAACGGTAATGAGATCATTAATTGTACAAGTTTTTGTTTAAATTTTAATTTAATGAAGTAAAAAGAGAACCTTCATCTTCATGTATGAAAATATAGCTAACATTTAGTGGGTATAATCAAGGATAATTAAGGATGCAACTTTTGTAGAAATACTCCTACATTTTATCATAGGGAGGAATTTTATTTATTGAATACACATGATAATATATGTATATATGGTATTGAAAATAAATATCACAAATAAATTGTGTTTTGTTTTTTGAGAAATTTCAAAAAATACTACTTTTCAAATGCCACTTTACAAAAATATCACACTTTTGAAATTTTTACAAAATACCACTTTTTCAGAATTATTTTTTCTTTATATTATTTATGTTTGGGCTAATTGTGTTCTATTAGGGTTTAGTTATGACGATTTAGAAGGGTTTAGGGTCAAGATATTTTTTAATGTTTAGAATTTTAAGATATAGGATTTAAAAATCTATAATTAGTGACATTTTTACAAATGAACACCTCTAACTGGCATTTTTGCAAATATGCACATAAAAATGACATTTTTACAATTTTTTCTTGTTTTTTTTTTCTATATTGCGGCTAATTATAATAACTTCTAACCATAATAAAAAAAAATCCTATGAATTTCTTAAGTTTAGCTTCATTACTTTAAAATTTAGTTTTTAATTAGTCATATATCAGATTTATACAAAACAACTAGTTAAACCAATGTTATTGGACAAATTATACGTGTTTAATGAGTTGTATTTAACACATGTTGAAAAGATTCTTAAGAATCAGCTGATAATAAGCGTTCAAACCAAAAATGGTTAGCTACTTTTGATAAACATAATTGACGTTTAAATTAAACCTCGATTGATCATTCATTTGGTTAAATATTTAATTAAAAATGATCTCCTGTATAAACAGATAATTGTTTATAAGTTTATGCTGAGTATAGATTATATTATATTTTCCTTGGTTGTGAATTTTTGCTTGTAATTAAACGTAATGATGTATGTAACCTAACTACTCCATTGTATTTATGTATATGTATGATAGATAAACACCATTTTAAATTAACTAAGCTTATATGATAGAATTTTCTCAATCTTCCACTAACTCTCGTCTTGATAATCTCTTGAAGTCGTTGGGTACAATTAAATGATTTTAATTCTGTGTCTTCCAATTGCTAATCAACAAACAATACCTATAAAGTTGGTTGCTTCCATTTGGATTTGATTGGAAGTATATATCATCATTCAATGCTTTCTTGTGTTAACTTCACAGAAAAATATATTAAAAAACGTATTTTCTGATAAATATATACATTAATTCTGAATTTAAAGTGGAAATATTTGAAATGTGGTTTGCTTGCATTTGATGGATATGTATTTTCATCATTTCCTTTTCAACTATGTATTTTCATCATTAAGTTCATCTTTTCCTTTTTATAAACCAATTGTATATAAAATTTATTTTCCAAGATTCCAACTATATTTAAGATGTTTTCTTTTTTCACGCTAAGATGTTTGGTTGTTGTATTATTGTATACACGTAATCATTCAATACTTGTTTAAAGGATTATTTTTGAAATTTCCACAAATAGAAATATGTTTTCCGTAAGTACATGTATAACTATGATCATTAGATGAAATCATATCGACGACAAGATATAATTTGAGAATTTACAATAATTTATGTTTATAAAAATTATGAGGGAGTTCGATTGTGGG